TTTTTGTTTTCAATGTTTTAAAGGTCCAGGTAATTTTGGAATCTCTAGGATATTCATAGAGTTCCCTATTGCACAGTATCACTTGATTGGTGGCAACCCCCAACCCGTCCAGACGTGTTCTATTATCTAGTTAGCTGATAAAGGGTTCGAACCTGGTCTGAAATGCATTTAGCAAAGTCGACACCTGTGCTACCTGCCCACCTTCACCGTCTTACGAAACCTTAAACATTAAGTCAAATCTCATGTACCAATGGTGAGCCTTCTCGAGTGAGGGTTTGGTCAGAGTCTGAGCAGTGGAGTGTGTTCGAGTCTGTCCACGTACTCCAGCCTACCTCCTCCTCTTGCTGCTGCTGCCTCAGGGAGAACCTGTTGTGGCTGTCAACCTCTACACTATGGTGGCTGTCAACCTCTACACTATGGTGGCTGCCAGCCTCTACACTATGGTGGCTGTCAACCTCTACACTATGGTGGCTGCCAGCCTCTACACTATAATGACTGTCAACCACTACACTATGGTGGCTGTCAGCCTCTACACTATAATGACTGTCAACCTCTACACTATTGTGGCTGCCAGCCTCTACACTATTGTGGCTGCCAGCCTCTACACTATGGTGACTGTCAACCTCTACACTATTGTGGCTGCCAGCCTCTACACTATGGTGGCTGCCAGCCTCTACACTATTGTGGCTGCCAGCCTCTACACTATGGTGGCTGCCAGCCTCTACACTATGGTGACTGTCAACCTCTACACTATGGTGGCTGCCAGCCTCTACACTATGGTGGCTGTCAACCTCTACACTATGGTGGCTGCCAGCCTCTACACTATGGTGGCTGTCAACCTCTACACTATGGTGGCTGCCAGCCTCTACACTATGGTGACTGTCAACCTCTACACTATGGTGACTGTCAGCCTCTACAGTATGGTGACTGTCAACCTCTACACTATGGTGACTGTCAACCTCTACACTATGGTGGCTGTCAGCCTCTACACTATGGTGACTGTCAACCTCTACACTATGGTGACTGTCAGCCTCTACAGTATGGTGACTGTCAACCTCTACACTATGGTGACTGTCAACCTCTACACTATGGTGGCTGCCAGCCTCTACACTATGGTGGCTGTCAACCTCTACACTATGGTGACTGTCAGCCTCTACACTATGGTGGCTGTCAACCTCTACACTATGGTGGCTGCCAGCCTCTACACTATGGTGGCTGTCAACCTCTACACTATGGTGACTGTCAGCCTCTACACTATGGTGGCTGTCAACCTCTACACTATGGTGGCTGTCAACCTCTACACTATGGTGGCTGCCAGCCTCTACACTATGGTGGCTGTCAACCTCTACACTATGGTGGCTGCCAGCCTCTACACTATGGTGGCTGTCAACCTCTACACTATGGTGGCTGCCAGCCTCTACACTATGGTGACTGTCAGCCTCTACACTATGGTGACTGTCAACCTCTACACTATGCTGGCTGCCAGCCTCTACACTATGGTGGCTGTCAACCTCTACACTATGGTGGCTGTCAACCTCTACACTATGGTGGCTGCCAGCCTCTACACTATGGTGACTGTCAACCTCTACACTATGGTGGCTGTCAACCTCTACACTATGGTGGCTGCCAGCCTCTACACTATGGTGAATGTCAACCTCTACACTATGGTGGCTGTCAACCTCTACACTATGGTGGCTGCCAGCCTCTACACTATGGTGGCTGCCAGCCTCTACACTATGGTGACTGTCAACCTCTACACTATGGTGGCTGCCAGCCTCTACACTATGGTGGCTGCCAGCCTCTACACTATGGTGGCTGTCAGCCTCTACACTATGGTGACTGTCAACCTCTACACTATGGTGGCTGCCAGCCTCTACACTATGGTGGCTGTCAACCTCTACACTATGGTGGCTGTCAGCCTCTACACTATGGTGGCTGCCAGCCTCTACACTATGGTGGCTGTCAACCTCTACACTATGGTGACTGTCAACCTCTACACTATGGTGGCTGCCAGCCTCTACACTATGGTGACTGTCAACCTCTACACTATGGTGGCTGTCAACCTCTACACTATGGTGGCTGTCAACCTCTACACTATGGTGGCTGTCAACCTCTACACTATGGTGGCTGTCAGCCTCTACACTATGGTGGCTGCCAGCCTCTACACTATGGTGGCTGTCAGCCTCTACACTATGGTGGCTGTCAACCTCTACACTATGGTGGCTGCCAGCCTCTACACTATGGTGACTGTCAACCTCTACACTATGGTGGCTGCCAGCCTCTACACTATGGTGGCTGCCAGCCTCTACACTATGGTGGCTGTCAGCCTCTACACTATGGTGACTGTCAACCTCTACACTATGGTGGCTGCCAGCCTCTACACTATGGTGGCTGTCAACCTCTACACTATGGTGGCTGTCAGCCTCTACACTATGGTGGCTGCCAGCCTCTACACTATGGTGGCTGTCAACCTCTACACTATGGTGACTGTCAACCTCTACACTATGGTGGCTGCCAGCCTCTACACTATGGTGACTGTCAACCTCTACACTATGGTGGCTGTCAACCTCTACACTATGGTGGCTGTCAACCTCTACACTATGGTGGCTGTCAACCTCTACACTATGGTGGCTGTCAGCCTCTACACTATGGTGGCTGCCAGCCTCTACACTATGGTGGCTGTCAGCCTCTACACTATGGTGGCTGTCAACCTCTACACTATGGTGGCTGCCAGCCTCTACACTATGGTGGCTGCCAGCCACTATTCACTTTCATAGCATGACACATCCCAAAGTGACGACTAAAATCCACAAAAGTATATTTTCCCAAATTCTTTTTAGCGCAAATAGAACTGATAGAAAGGGAGGGTCTGGTGACTGACAGACGCCCATCAGATGACATGCGAATAAAGACGTGTCAAATGACATACAAATAACGACGGGTCCATGAGGCCTCACCCTCAATACCCGGTACTTGACATGACACAGAAAATGGGAGACAGGAGTGTTTTTGTGCTTTAAATAATACAGAAAATGGGAAACAAGAGTGTGTTTTACTTTAAATAACAGAAAATAGGATTCAGAAGTGTCTTATACTTTAAATAATATAGAAAATGGGAGGCAGTGGTGTCTTTTGCTTTAAATGAAATGGAAAATGGAAGACACTGGGTTTCCTTCACCTTAAAGTACACCAAAGACATGAGCAAGAAACTCTTCAGTTCATATAACTCATGAGAGGAGGTTAGAAGCAGCTGTTCACTAAACATTACCCAGGAAGAAGAGAGAGAAGTTCTTCTCCCTTCACTACTTACCTCTGAAGCTCGGTAACCTGACCCAATGAGATCACAGTCAGGTGATCTATGAGCGAAGGTTGTCATACCATGGGATCGAACTCGCGTCCCTGGACTCATAGCTAGGGGGTTCCAGAACGGACCAATACGTCGTCATGTTCCTGGCTTTTCATAGTGATTAGAGGTCCAAGGCCAGAATGCAACCCGTTCTCGCACTTCCTTCAGTCAATATTGGCTTATTTAATAAGTGCATATGTGACATACTAATTGATTGTAAATATTTTAGTTTACCTTGAAAAGCTTCATAGAAAACACCGACCTTACCTAACCTTCTTAGTATGTTAAGTTAAGGATCTTATTGCTTTTTATTTACAATTATTACTTAACCTATCAACGGTATAGGTTAAGTAATAATTGTAATTAAGAAGCAATAAGATGCTTATCTTAATATACTAAGAAGGTTAGGTGAGGTCGGTGTTTTCTATGAAGCTTTTCAAGATAAACTAAAATATTTACAATCAATTAGTATGTCACATATGCACTTATTAAATAAGTCAATATTGACTATAAGCAAGTGCGAGAACGGGTTGCAGAATGATATGCTGTCATTTTCATCTCGTTTCATGAGTGTTGCAAGAACAGGAAACGAAAACGGTGTTTTAAGCACTGTGATTGTGTGATTCGTGCTAGTTGCAAAGATCTTCTTGCAAGTTTGTCCAGTGTATCAAGATATATATCCAAGGAGCAATTTTTGGAGAACAATTTTCAGGGGTCAAGTTCTTTAAAATAAGGGGAAGCACGCCCCATAAAGTAAGGGGTACCAAGTCCCATACAATAGAGGGGTAGGAAGCCTCATACAATAAGGGACATCAATCCTCACAAAAATTAAATAAGAAAAGCTGGTAATCTATCTGTGTTATCCTTGGCTATCCTGAAGCTCACATGAACTTTGAGAACATAAATTGAATGGTATTATCCTCTTAGTGACTTAATACAAGTTTTTTATGATCCCACATACCTGTTGATATATGTGGCTTTCCCAGTCATGTGGACGTGGTCTCCAACATAATATGTTGCTTAAATAATCCCACATACCTGTTGATATATGTGGCTTTCCCAGTCATGTGGACGTGGTCTCCAACATAATATGTTGCTTAAATAATCCCACATACCTGCTGATATATGTGGCTTTCCCAGTCATGTGGACGTGGTCTCCAACATAATATGTTGCTTAAATAATCCCACATACCTGCTGATATATGTGACTCCGTAATAGTGGGCGTTGATCACAACATAATGTGGGAAGTTAAACGTTATACTTTATGGTCCACTTAGGCGATGATTACTGAGCGTCTGCTGGAGTTGTCTTCATAAAATGTTTCCTTGGCGCCCAGAGGTGATGCCCAGTTTGGGTACGCGAGTCTGGTATGGGGAGATTTTGTCCAATATGGCCGCCAAGATGGCCGCCAGGCGCAATTCGACTATTATCGGGAAATGGTCTATTTCTCGAGTAAGGTTGCTTCTGGTTGCAAATTGCAATGGAACAAAATAGCTCAGATTACTACTTTACGCTGAAAGATGAACAACTCACACCAGCTTAAGAAAGTATTTCAAAACTTTGTACCTCAATTTTTAATGCATAATTTATGTTTATCAAGCAGGTGAAAAATCTAAAGTTTTCTTGTATAGGAATTGTGGTCCTTTGAAACTTTCAACCAGAAGCAGCTTTTCCAGAGATTTGGAGCATTTCCCCGATACTGGTGGAATGAGGACTGGCGGCCATCTTGGTGGCCATATTGGCGGCCATCTTGGTGGCCATATTGGTGGCCATATTGGTGGTCATATTGGCGGCCATCTTGGTGGCCATATTGGCGGCCATCTTGGTGGCCATATTGGCGGCCATATTGGTGGCCATATTGGCGGCCATATTGGTGGCCATATTGGTGGTCATATCGGTGGTCATATTGGCGGCCATATTGGTGGCCATATTGGTGGCCATATTGGCGGCCATATTGGTGGCCATATTGGCGGCCATCTTGGTGGCCATCTTGGTGGCCATCTTGGTGGCCATATTGGTGGTCATATTGGTGGCCATATTGGCGGCCATATTGGTGGCCATATTGGTGGCCATATTGGCGGCCATATTGGTGGTCATATTGGTGGCCATATTGGTGGCCATATTGGCGGCCATATTGGCGGCCATATTGGCGGCCATATTGGCGGCCATATTGGTGGCCATATTGGCGGCCATATTGGTGGCCATATTGGTGGCCATATTGGCGGCCATATTGGCGGCCATATTGGTGGTCATATTGGTGGCCATATTGGTGGCCATATTGGCGGCCATATTGGCGGCCATATTGGTGGCCATATTGGCGGCCATATTGGCGGCCATATTGGCGGCCATATTGGCGGCCATATTGGCGGCCATATTGGCGGCCATATTGGCGGCCATATTGGTGGCCATATTGGCGGCCATATTGGTGGCCATATTGGTGGCCATATTGGCGGCCATATTGGCGGCCATATTGGTGGCCATATTGGCGGCCATATTGGCGGCCATATTGGTGGCCATATTGGTGGCCATATTGGCGGCCATATTGGTGGCCATATTGGCGGCCATATTGGCGGCCATATTGGCGGCCATATTGGCGGCCATATTCGCGGCCATATTGGTGGCCATATTGGCGGCCATATTGGTGGCCATATTGGCGGCCATATTGGTGGCCATATTGGTGGCCATATTGGACAATATCTCACCATACCAGACTCTCCCCCCCCACAAGCTGGACATCTCCCCTGGGCGCCAAGGAAACATTACTGTGGAGAGAACAGCTCTCTACACTTACCTGTAACAATCACTACCTCAGTGGACCTCAGACTAATGATTCACTTACCAATACCCATATGTGTGTGTTGGGGGGTCTGACCCCCTCCCTGTCCCATACACCCACAGTTATGGGGGTCCTGTACTTCACCCAGACCCCCCTCCCTCCCCCCCAGTTGGGTGTGGGTCTCCAACACCCCTCCCCCCCCACATAACCCCCCCTCCCAGTGGTAGCCAATTGGCTACACCTGGCTGCCCTGGCCACACCTGCCTGCCCCTGGCCACACCTGGGCCACACCTGCTTACACAAGATCATTGTTACCTAATTGTTGCTCCCTTTCTCACCCTTTCTATGTCACATTTCTCCCCTCTCTTCCTCTGCCCTTTCTCATTCCCCTATTTCTTCCACCCAAACTAAACAATAATTTTTCCTGGTAGGAATTTGGGGGCAGAAATAGGGGAAGGATAATTCTAGGTAGTATGTCCATCCGGGAACACCCAGTTCACAGGTTCGATCCCTCGCCACGGCTCCCGTGGATTTATTCACTGATATATCACGATAATGGGATTTATCTGTGTAATTATAGGTAGTGGTGTAGTGGAGGAGGCATAGGGGTATGGGGGGGGGATTAGGGATGAGTGGGGGGTATGGGGGGTTGTGGGGGGGAAGGGGGGAGATAAAAGGGGTTGGGGAGGGGGGGGAGGGGAGTAGGTCCTGCAGTGCTGCCATATCTCCTTTACTCCTGTAGTGACGCGGCTCTTCGGCCTCTGCTGTTCCCAGTCATATCGATCTCCGTGACGTCACTTTGCCCGGTCCAATCAGCGCACCTGCCGTTGACGTCACGGCAGCCTTGGGCCAATCAGCTCCATCGTTTATGCTCTGGAAGGAATCATGAATGAAACATCTCAATTGATGAATGAGAGGTGCTTGTGAAGCCACGAGGGGTCCTATAGGACTCACGCTCCTGTGCTGAAGGTCCTGTTTACACTTGTCGACACACACATCTAGATTACTCTTGTAATTACGTCAGCGCAAACGAGCACTTCCTTTATGCCCATTGGCTCTTCAAAGAGTCAGCTAAATTACAATTGGCTGGTTGTTGCTTGTTCCCTCTCTTATGTTCGGGGGGGGGGAGGGCATTTAAATGCCATTTACTGTAGTAAATGATGTTTAAAACCCGTCTCTAAATGGCCCCCCCTGTTAGAGGAATGGTAAAGACTCACGCTACTCACCTTAGAGACAACTTATATAGTTTTCATTTATACCTTAAATGGTTGTTAAGGAAAAGGTATTCGATTGCCTTTACGATCAATCGAATACCTTTGATTGATCGTAATGATCAATCGATTGATCGTTACGATTTGATGTAGATTTTGTTGAAAAAGGAATGGCGTTTAGGGAGACTTTTAAATGCGAGAGCACTGTCTACTGCCTTTTGTTATCAGAGAACTCTGGCCACTATCTTTTGTTATCAGAGAACGCTGGCCACTATCTTTTGTTATCAGAGAACGCTGGCCACTATCTTTTGTTATCAGAGAACGCTGGCCACTATCTTTTGTTATCAGAGAACGCTGGCCACTATCTTTTGTTATCAGAGAACGCTGGCCACTATCTTTTGTTATCAGAGAACGCTGGCCACTATCTTTTGTTATCAGAGAACGCTGGCCACTATCTTTTGTTATCAGAGAACGCTGGCCACTATCTTTTGTTATCAGAGAACGCTGGCCACTATCTTTTGTTATCAGAGAACGCTGGCCACTATCTTTTGTTATCAGAGAACGCTGGCCACTATCTTTTGTTATCAGTGAACGCTGGCCACCACCTTTTGTTATCAGAGAACGCTGGCCACTATCTTTTGTTATCAGTGAACGCTGGCCACTATCTTTTGTTATCAGAGAACGCTGGCCACCACCTTTTGTTATCAGAGGAGAGGCATTTAGGGGGACTTATATGCGGGTGCTGTGAGCACTATTTCAGGGTCAGGTATGAATGGCCGCCTGCCTGGCCTTTGTCCGCTCACAGGAAGAGTTTCGGTGTATAGCGGCTCTCAGCCCTGATGTTTACGGGCGGGGGCGGACCTCCACCCACGCCCGTGCGTCCCTGAACCCCTGAGCCCCGCCCTGAACCCCTGAACCCCTGAGCCCCGCCCTGAACCCCTGAGCCCCGCCCTGAACCCCTGAGCCCCGCCCTGAACCCCTGAGCCCCACCCTGAACCCCTGAGCCCCGCCCTGAACCCCTGAGCCCCGCCCTGAACCCCTGAGCCCCGCCCTGAACCCTGAGCCCCGCCCTGAACCCCTGAGCCCCGCCCTGTTCCCCTGAGCCCCACCCCCCTGAACCCCTGAGCCCCGCCCTGTTCCCCCCCCGCCCTGAGCCCCGCCCTGAACCCCTGAGCCCCGCCCTGAACCCCGTCTGAGCCCCGCCCTGAACCCCTGAGCCCCGCCCTGAATCCCTGAGCCCCGCCCTGAACCCCTGAGCCCCGCCCTGAACCCCTGAGCCCCGCCCTGAACCCCTGAGCCCCACCCTGAACCCCTGAGCCCCGCCCTGAACCCTGAGCCCCGCCCTGAACCCCTGAGCCCCACCCTGAACCCCTGAGCCCCACCCTGTTCCCCTGAGCCCCGCCCTGAACCCCTGAGCCCCGCCCTGAACCCCTGAGCCCCGCCCTGTTCCTGGGCCCCGCCCTGTTCCTGAGCCCCGCCCTGAACCCCTGAGCCCCGCCCTGTTCCTGGGCCCCGCCCGCGTTCAAGAACGCCACCCTGATTCGCGATCACTCGGCCCAGAGCCTTATCTCTTCCTGTTTTGCTTTGAGATAGAGATTTCTCTCTCTCATTTGTAAGTGCACATCTCGCCTTGACACCTTCCCTCATCTTCCCTTCCATGCATTATATCACTATATGCTCCCAACCCCGTTCTGTTACCCCCTTCCCCCGTTAACTCTTTCCTGTCCCATCTTCTCGTCACTCCCTCCTTCCCACCTCTTTCCCATCCTCCCTTCCCAGCATCCCCTTCCCAGCATCCCCCTTCCCAGCATCCCCTTCCCAGAATCCTCTTCCCAGCATCCCCTTCCCAGCATCCCCCTTCCCAGCATCCCCTTCCCAGCATCCCCCTTCCCAGCATCCCCCTTCCCAGCCTCCCCTTCCCAGCCTCCCCTTCCCAGCCTCCCCTTCCCAGCCTCCTTCCCAGCCTCCCCTTCCCAGCATCTCCTTCCCAGCATCCCTTCCCACCCTCCCCTTCCCACCTCCCCCTTCCCACCCTCCCCTTCCCAGCCTCCCCTTCCCAGCCTCCCTTCCCAGCCTCCCTTCCCAGCCTCCCCTTCCCACCCTCCCCTTCCCAGCCTCCCCTTCCCAGCCTCCCCTTCCCAGCCTCCCTTCCCAGCCTCCCCTTCCCACCCTCCCCTTCCCAGCCTCCCCTTCCCAGCCTCCCCTTCCCAGCCTCCCTTCCCAGCCTCCCCTTCCCAGCCTCCCTTCCCAGCCTCCCCTTCCCACCCTCCCCTTCCCAGCCTCCCCTTCCCAGCCTCCCCTTCCCACCCTCCCCTTCCCAGCCTCCCCTTCCCAGCCTCCCCTTCCCAGCCTCCCTTCCCAGCCTCCCCTTCCCAGCCTCCCTTCCCAGCCTCCCCTTCCCACATCCCTTCCCAGCCTCCCCTTCCCAGCCTCCCCTTCCCAGCCTCCCTTCCCAGCATCCCCCTTCCCAGCCTCCCCTTCCCAGCATCCCCCTTCCCAGCATCCCCCTTCCCAGCCTCCCCTTCCCAGCCTCCCCTTCCCAGCCTCCCCTTCCCAGCCTCCCTTCCCAGCTAATACTGTTCTCCCCCGTGCAGAAGACTTGAGAGGCAACTTCAAGATGGTCTACACGTGGCTTATGCAAAATGTGATTTAATAAACCAAATCCAAATATTGTATAAAAACGAGAAATTTCTGGAGGAAAAAACTGAACAAATGTTTTTTTTCTCTCCGCCTGCTTTGGGTCTCAGGCTGGGAACCCTTACATAGAAAACACCTGAAGACATAAACCCCGCGAGGATAGAGAACAAATAACAGGAATTTAGAACAGTTTGGGAACAGGTAAAGAGAACAAACCCAAGGAGAACAATTTAGTTCCAACACCAGAGGAGTGATTGTAAGTTTAACTGTAAACAGTGATCTTACAACCATGACGAACAACAGAAGTAAATAAGACCAGCTACAAAGTCTACGTACCTCATGAACCAGATTTAACAGCAAGCATCATAAGGCATGAAGAACATGACAACATATCCATATAAGAATTAAGGTAACAGCGTAAGGCATATATAGATATAGTGGTCAGGATGAGGCAGTTCCTATATATATATCCACCCAAGCTTATTCATATATATGTCTAATCTAAGCTTGAAATATTCCTGCAATCCCACACCTGATTGAGCAATCAGTAATTTGTTATATAAATATACGAGTTATTTCCAACTCATTGGTAGTGATGACTATCAGTGACGGTCAATACATCACTATTTGGTATACTTCAACACTGATCTATTTCCCACACACACACACACACACACACACACACACACACACACACACACACACACACACACACACACACACACACACACACACACACACACACACACACACTGACCAAAGAGCCAAAGCTCAACCCCCGCAAGCACAAATAGGTGAATACACACACACACACACACACACACACACACACACACACACACACACACACACACACACACACATATATATATATATATATATATATATATATATATATATATATATATAAAAAAGAAAATCACTATCAGATTAATTCCTATTCTCTAAATTATTTTTAAAGATCACTAGCAAAATAATTCCTATTCTCTAAATACATAAAAATAATAGCTATGAGAATAATTCCTATTGCAGTAAATACTTAAGAAAGGTCAATACCAGATTAAATACTAATATAGGGGAATCCGTCAACATAAATAACAAACAAATGAGCAGAGTTTCTTTCACCCTGATGTCCCTGTTCACCTAGCAGTAAATAGATACCTGGGAGTTAGACAGCTGCCACATGCTGCTTCGTCGGGGGGTGTGTGTGGGGGGAACAAAAAATCAGTTGATTGACAGTTGAGAGGCGGGCCCAAAGAGCCGGAGCTCAACCCCCTTCTAGGTGAGTACAGACTCAGGTCTGTACTCAAGGCAAGGAATAAAAAGGTATCAAATTGAGATAAACTGTAGAGTGCCCTCAGAGACTCTGGGCCGAGGTGCAGAGTTTTACAGAGAACACGACAGCTAAAATCAAGATTGGCACCTGTTTGGATACTCACTGCTGGAGTTTAGATAAAAAAAAACACCTGGATAGAAATTAGTTTGGAAACAGGATTGTTGAATCATGATTTATTGACTTGCCGGGTCGCATAATAGACAGGAGATTGCGGGGTTGTTTCAAGCGTAGGTTACACATATGATTGAATGAATTCTGGTGG